ATGGAGTTGTTGCAAACAGAATATTTTAATCATTCTATATATCTGATTTGCAGATGCAGATACATAAAACCATAATACCATATGCCACAATTTGTGTATAGGGTATATCTAATCGTTGCCAAAATAATAATGGTGATTGTCCTACAACATTGCGTAGATTTTAGATTGTTTACATCTGTAGGAAGTAATCGATTGACATTGATTTGCAATATCGGAAATTGGCACGACAATATAGTAGCAACGTATCTCACTGCAATATAATGGAAAATTAAACGGAAGATAAAGAGAGAGAGAGAAAGATAGATAGAAAGAAAGAGTATATATACCCACACATGATGTTTATACGATTGTGGAAGTCTACCGTCTAGACATTTAAAATTCAAAATCTAAAATACCTTTTTAAGACATTCTGTCCAAATTTCTATTATATTTTTTCCTATTTTTTCCCATTCTCGGTTTCCAAAAATTTAATTTCGTATTTTGATTTAATTCGAATCCACATTAATTCAAGAATGTCCCCATAAATTGTCAAGTGAAAATCTCAACAATTTTTGAAGATATAGCCGATTTATTGTGCTAGCATCAAGTGACGGTCTCCAGCGTTTTTGCTAATGGCGGGCACGATAACTCAGAAACTAATAATCCCATTTTTCTGTGAGTGTATAGCTATATATGAACTAGGATAAATCCAAACGGCGAAGATCTTCCTTATTTTTTAACTTAGTTTGTGGTCAAAAATAGGCGATTTTCCAAAAAGGTTTCAAAGTTCCACCATTTTGTTAATTGTTGTGCGAAGTCAATAATCCTAGTTCATACGAGAGACAGAAAACTGTGGAAAACTGTATTAATCCCTACTGGCGTTTTTAACTCTTTCCAACTCATAGAAATCAATCTACGTGTAGGAATTACCGAACATATCGTTAAACATAGTTTTCTCGCTAAACATCTTACGGATATTGTCAAAGTAGTAGCTAAGAGGAAGTATAACAGTAGCATAATTTGCCATATGGATTATTTAATATGTGATCCACGTAGAGCAAGCTCGTCTGCCACTTTATTTCTATTATGACCTGGAACCAAAGAAAGTCTAAAAAAGCCGTAGTGACATATATACATACATTGAACAGTGTCTGTAAGGACTCAAATATGTCTTCTCTAAGTAATCGAAATGCCATATTACAGCAACTTCGGCTGGTAAGTAATGATAGCGATTTTAAAATACCCAAAATCTTTCAAAAATACATTTAAAATATTCTATCGAACCACAGTAAGTTACGTTGAAAAAGTATTTAAAATAGGGCGGATGGATCTTTATATGTGGGCTAAGTCAAAACTCTAACTTATATTGAAAAGTGTGGCAGAAAGTCTTTTATCTCCTATTAAGCTATAAAAAATCGGACGAGGACTACACAAAGGCCTATGGAAATAGCCCAAAACAGGTATGTCTTCAAAATGGGATTAAAATTCAACGGTACCGTTAAACATTTTTCAATGCTCTTGCAGAGATCGGCATAGAATTTTATTCCGATCAGTGCTGGTGACAAAATGGATTCATTTGCTTTCCAAAATATTTTTAAATTTCTTATAGATCGAAGTGTAGTATAACCTCACTTTGTTGACTTATCTCTAATGAATATAACTATTACATTTCACAAATATCAAGCGTGTTTCTAATTAAGATATAAGATGCTTTTTTTAAAACAACATTGCAGATCTCTATTCATCAGTATTAAATACTTAAAAATTAAATTTTTTTAAATAATAGAAGCCCTAATACAAACCCTACTGTTGCAATAAAACAAATCGTTTCATATTTTTGTGTTTTTAAATAAACTTTAGTTTTGTCTTATTGTGTGTGTTTTTTTAAATTCCTTGTTTACGATGGAAATAATGAAATGCAACTCTTTCGTTTGTTACTCTTTTTCAACACATTAATATACGTTTTGAAGTTTCTCGACGACAGAAACAATTATAATATAATTTACAACTAAATAATATTTATAGGAAGGAATTTTTAACAAAATTGGAGACTGCACACGACTGTAGATATTTTTTACCATATTGTTGTTTCTTATTCATTGTTTCATTAAGGCATAAATAAATTGTTGTTGCTGTTGTTGATGTTTGTTTTGAAAAGAAGCTCCAAATGATTAATATTTTTATTGTAATTATATGACGTTTTATTCTATTACGTTGTCTAGAGAGAGTTTTGTGTTTTTGTGGCATTTATTAGCTTTCAATGGATCAAGTCTTCTAATTGTTTGCGTTTGGTTTTGGTTAACAAAATAAAACCAGACATTATTCACGATGTAATAAAACAAAAATGGCTAAGATTGATAAAATTGCCCACTGTAAGAGAAGAAACAAAAGGGAAATTAATATTGAAATTTGTAATTAGGAAATTAATTTCGACATACCTTGACTTTAGGATATTCGTTCATAAATATCGTAATGATGCCAACATACGGCAAGAACCCTCTAGCCCGGCCAACAATATCCTTTTTCGTTAGCCACAATTGTCCGGGAGCGTATAAACCTCTGTCGTCGACATTGTTGTTATCGCCCTTTGTCAAGAATTTAACGGAGCCATCTTCCCTGTAATCGAAACGTTAAAATGTTGAATTCTTTTCGTTAAAAGTGGTAATCGTTTTTAGCTTACTTTTCATGCAACTTAATAACACGATGTACAATGGGAATGTCTCGTCCCTCCACTTTGAAGACAACAATTTCACCTACACGAACGGGTTCTTCCTTATAGTTGGTAAGGAATAAGAGATCACCTCTGTGGAATGCTGGTTCCATACTACCACTCAATACAACAACAATGGGACTTTCGCTGCCTGTCACCACCATCAGACCCTTCCAGATCATAAGGGCGGAGGAGACAATCATAGCAAAGCTAAGAAATTGGTACAAGGACTAAAAAAGAGTACAAACATATTTATCTCGAGTCTCAATTGCAAAGGCATTAGGACCAAAAAGACACGTATAACCGCAAACAGAACAGCCAGCCAGCCAACCAAGTTAAAGCTCTTCCCAACCAAATCACACACACTCATACATACACGTACACTTGTTTGTTGAAATGTGAGTTTGTGCTTGGTTGGCTATTTGTGACCATTGTTGTTGCTTGTTTCGAGTTTTTCAATGTGTCTCGTCGTCCAATCCTCCTTACCTGGCGTTTGTTCATACGCTTGAAATCCTGTATCATTTCATCAATTTGTAATGTTTCGGCTAGACCCATATTGTATTGTTTTTTCTTTTTCTATTCTAAATCTGTGCTACAACAAAAATAAACTCTCTGAAACTGTCTTTACAAAAATTTTGCACAAAAATTTCTGTGACTTCTAAAAAAGCCGCTTGTTTTTATACCACGTCAACTGAGAATGTAGCCGTCGACCAGGGTTTCAACGCCGGCAGTTGTCAGTGCCGACATGTTTTCTTATTACCTGCGCTGCGTAGTTAAACGCCTTTGTTTTTCTGTGATATCTTAAATCTTGTTTACATTAAACGTGACTAAACTCAAATTTGTTAATCAATTGTTTTATAATATATTTTTTCTCGGGAATTTAGGGGTAAATTATTTGTTTAAATTAAAATATATTTATTTTATAACCAAAATATGTTTTAATATTAATGAAATACAGTTATAATATACATCGATTTTAATACACACGTTTATAAAATATTAAACATGGTACTAAACTTAAATTTAGAATATTTAAATACACAAAATTTTGGGTTGTCTTTTCAAAACCTTTTTCAAAACGTACTATACAAGGCCTATAAATAAGGTCGTCAAGGTGGATATTAATTGCCTCTCACGTGTGCTATCAAAATCCATTATTGTGAATTGACATCCATTATTGTGAATTGACAAAGTCCGTATTCATAAATACTAAAATTATTTTTTTCCAAAATACGCGAGGATGTCCGATTTTTATAAAATGTCAAATAAGTTTTCTTAGCACAGAAGATTTGCATTTTCTCAATGAAACTCAGATCCTAGGGGTACCGGGAAACCCATTCAAGTTCAGAAAATGAAAACCAATACACTTAGGTCGCAACTCCTATATTACATTTGTGAATAATAATTAGAACACACTATAGAGGGACCTAATAGAATCGCTGTTGTAAAACATGAAACCATTTACCTTTTAAAATCCAATTGTGCTTCTATAAATTAATTTAATTCAGAGTTATTTTTATACCCTCAGCCTTATGGTTAATGAGGGCATATTCCCTATGTTACGCAAACATGTGCCTCATCGAAATATTCATTTCAAAGAAACATAGTGTTTCTTTGGGCCAAATCGTTTCAAAAAATTTGGAGTCGATTTACAAATATCCGTCCGTCTGTATGCGCATCAAAACTTTCTACAAAGTAATTGGTCTGTTCCCGTACTGAAAAAAATCTACTACTATAACAAATTGTATCGAACAAAATATAAAAACCGTTGTACAGGAACGGACCAAATATATTGTTTAAACTGACAATCCGATTTTAACCAAATTTTGTGCAGCTGTCTTTACCATACCTAGAAATTCGAACTTGAGACCCATTGGTCCACTCCTTCTGGTACCTCCACCACAAATGATCAACATTTTCAATATGTATAAATCCAATATCGGGCTAATGGCTTTTTTATCTTGTTCATACCGATGCTTCTCAAGATTGCTGTCAAAACCCATTATTGTGACTGGGCTTCCATAAAATGTTTATATTTAATTCATTCATGACATTAGACTTGAGAAAAAAACAACTGGTTTTCGCTAGCTGGGTGACCTTATTAATAGATAATTGTACTGAATTTCAAATAAAATGTTAATATTTAATTAATGCCATGTATAAACATACTGTAATGTGACGAGTTTGTGCTTTCATTCACAATAGAGTGGCAGTAGACAGCTGGCATTTTGTCATCAACCGTCCAATGTGCTCGGTGTCATTTCTGGAAGAGCCACCATCCAGCTTCCCTAATTAAATCCTCAACAAAAATATGGGTGACCACAAACTCTTGGATACAACACAAATTGTAAATGGAATAGCTGTGCTATTGTCATTCTTTGTGGGCTATAAATATGCTCTAAAAAGGCAAGAATTAAAAGAGCAGACGGACAACAATTCAAAGAAAACTGATGAGGCCAAAGGAGCTGTGGGTGGTGGTGGCAGTACAAATGTGTCGGCCAATGAACCGGTAAGAAGAATACGAGGAATATATTCCAAAATAATATATTTTAATATTTTATTTCCAAAATAATTACAGCTCTTTGCTAGCTTTAGCCACAACTACAAAATGGTGCTGCTCGTACGCAATGATTTAAAAATGGGCAAGGGTAAAATTGCCGCCCAGTGTGGACATGGTGCGGTTGGTGCATATCAAAAGGCTGTACATCGTACACCAAGTTTGGTTAGAGCCTGGGAGAATACCGGTTGTGCCAAGGTTGCCCTTAAAGTAGAAAGTGAAGCTGAAATGATGGCCCTAAAGCGGGCGGCAGAGGCCAAGGGTCTCAACACCTGTTTGATTCGTGATGCTGGTCGCACACAAATCGAACCGAATTCTAAGACTGTTTTGGCTATTGGACCAGCCGCTGTTGAGGCTATTGATCAAGTTACTGGTCATTTGAAATTACTTTGAAGTTATCAACATAAATAGAATGCTTAGGTTAATATTATATTAAGTACATATTGTAAGTTTCGTAAGATGTGGACAAATACAAGGTAAAAATAACCCATCAGTGGTGAGTGTTATTTTATTTTTGTTCAGACTTTAAAAGATTTCTGTTTTCAGTGCAGTGGCCATGGAGAATCAGAGAAATTTGATTTAGAGATTTTTATAGATAACTGACAAGGACATGCAAATTATTTGTTTTAAGAATTTGTCCAAATAATGATCCCCATACAAATTTTAGGTATATTCTAACTCTACTCGTTTACTAAGTATTAAAAGGAGGATTTCACCGACTGGATACGGTAGCTATATAAATACGTAAACAATAACCTGTTCAAATTTAGAACCGATTAGATTAACAGAATTTGACGTACCAGCCAGTAGTAAAAGCACTACTTGCAAAAACACCAAGGCTGTAATGTGATATTTTAGGTTTGCATTGTGTAGCACATATTCTTACAAAAATGATACATTTTGGTCTACTTGTTTTCGGATTTTGTGCGCGATTTTCAACCGATTTCATCAAAACTTAGTTCAAGTTCGAAGATGGGGAAGATCGTCCAGTTCTTCTGTTATCTCCTTAACAAAATGGTCAAAATTGTGCAAAAAATTAATTGCATAATATCAGGCGAACATACTATCCGATTTGAACCAAACTTTGCACAATCTATTATCTTTATTAAGACTACGTCAAGTCCGAAGATGGGACCCACTTCTTCTGGTATCTCGCCCATAGATGGTCAAACATTTCAATATCTATAAATCGAATGAAATGTCCGATTTGAATCAAACATTGTAACACCTGTTATTATTACTAAGGCTAGATAAAATCGGAAGATGGTCAACATTTTTTAATCCACTATTAGACGTCAAGTCCGAAAATGGGACCCATTGGTCAGCTCCTTCTGGTACCTCCCCACAAATGGTTAAAAGGTTAAATATTTACAAATCCACTATTAGGCGAATAGAATGTCCGATTTGAACCAAACTTTGTACAACCTATTATCTTTATCAAGCCTAGATGAAGTCCGAAGATGGGACCCATTGGTCCACTTTGTACAACCTATTATCTTTATCAAGCCTAGATGAAGTCCGAAGATGGGACCCATTGGTCCACTTTTTCTGGTATCTCCCCCATAGATGGTCAAACATTCCAATATTTAGAAATCCAATGAAATGTCCGATTTGGTACCTCCCCACAAATGGTTAAGAGGTTAAATATTTAAAAATCCACTATTAGGCGAATGGAATGTCCGAATTGCACTAAACTTTGAACAACCTATTATCTTTACTAAGACTAGGTCAAATTCGAAGATGGGACCCAATGGCCCACTCCTTCTGGTACCCCCCACAAATATTAAAAATTTTCAATACTTTCATTACTTTCCTATTATTACCACGCCCAGATCAAGTCCAAAGATGAGACTCGTAGTTCATCTCCTGGTACTTCCCGATTTGATCAACATTAAATCCGAAACCTCTTCGATAAAAACATATTCTTAATATAAAGCGAATAATAAAACCTGTATGTAATTCCAAAGGCCTCCGCAAACCATATGCTGATGGTATTTTATCTGTCGGCAACATCGATTGACACTTGAATCGTAGTAGTACCACAGATTTATACCCAAAGTGAATTTGGTCCTTTCCGGTTTCTGAATTAATATATAATCAAGTTGTGAATACTAATAACCAAACAATAGAGGACAGTAATAGAATCGAAGTAAGAAAACATGAAAACACTTACCACCTTTTATATTCCTATTGCGCTGCTATATGTACATGTTATTGGGTTAACGCTCGCTATATATTCGAAGTAATTTTTATTTTATTCTTTACACTTTTTATATTTTTATTATTTTTTTCTTTCCCACATTTAAGACACTGAATTTCAATTATAATTTTTTTTATTAAATTACTTGTGCTTTATCTTTGACTTCGACAATTAACCTAATTTTTATGGTTGAAACCCGCACTAACTGATGAACACTTAAAAAAGCACAAATTTATCTAAAGAAGCTTTTGTAGTAAACCTACAGCGAATGAGAACCAACACAAAGGCAAATATAACTAACACTTATTAACCGGCAAACGGAGAATTAACCGAACGGAAATGGAGCTTTTACTCTCTTTAACACGGCAACGGAAACTTTGTGGCCAAAGGAACATATTTTTATTTGATGAAAAGCTTTTTTGTAGCCAAACGCGCACAGATTGCAGCACAACAAAGCATAGCAGATACATACACACACGAACACTAACACACGGTCTAATATGCAAATATTTTTGCAATAGATAAAGGAATATTCCAGAATATTTTATTACACGTTGTATAAAAGAATTTTGCACTATTTTTAGTTGAACTCAACTTTTTTATTTATTTGAAAGCATTATAATTATTTTCCCGTTTTTTTTTTTATAATTTGGCAACAAACCCGATTAACCGATCACTACAACGGACGTCTACACTGTACGAACGCGAAGAAAGAACTAAAGGAGTGGAAAGTTCTAATAAACTCTCTGACTGGTATGATGGGGAATATGAGAGACTTAACGAATGAAGTTATGCATTGGTTTCCCTTAATGTTTTAAGAGTGTGTACTGAAAATGGACATTTTCTCTGAGAGTAGCTATGAGGGAAACGAAAGGAATGTGATATTGATGCAGTTTTTTAAGCACATACATGGTTTTTTTATATTTTTGAAAATGAAAGCAAAAATGTCGGAAATAGCATCAAATTGCAGAATAATTTTAGATTTGTTCGAATTGGTTACCTTTGGCACGATTTATGGCCTTCAAACTACTAATGTTGCTTTGCCAAAATGTTTGCGTGCCCAAGGTTTTAATACATCCTCCAAAATATTTTCGCGATAATATTCGGCATTTATTTTGATGCCACGGTCGATTAATACGAGCGGAGTGCGACCATCGAACGAATGTTTTCTCATCGGAGAAAATCAAATTCGGCAGTTCACCACTTGCGGCCATGCGAAGCAACTCTTTAGCTCTTTTGAGTCTATTTTCTTTCTGATGCGGTGTAAGTTCTTGCACTTTTTGGAATTTCAATGGCTTTACCCCGAGCTAATTTTTTTAATATTTGCGCGAATGGAATATTGCGATATGTTCAGCTCACGAGCAATTTTTCGGCCACTGCAACGGGGGTTTCGGTCAAGCCGCTTCTTTACTTTTCGAACCATTTCTGCTGATGTTGCTGTTTTCATCCGTCCACTTCCCTGACGTCGGGCTACGCTACCAGTATCAAGGTAACGAGCGATGGTACGAGACACAAAATATTTGTTCACATTTAAATGCTGGAGTGCTCTAACGATAGTCACTTGTGGTTTTCAAGCCAAATATAAAGAAATCACACTATCACGCTTTAATTCCATCACGAATAACTTTTTTTATGGAAAATTCTGGAAGATACCAAAAGAGAAGACATAAGGATCTCACCTGCGGGATTGATTTATGCTTGGTATAGATAATAGGTTGTGTAAAGTTTAGTTCAAATCGGACATTCTTTTCGCCTGATATTGGCCTTATAAATTTTGAAAATGTTGGCCATTTGTGGGGGAGGTATCAGAAAGAGTGAACCAATAGGTCCCATCTCTGGACTTGATTTAGGCTAGATAAAGATAATAGATTGTGCAAAATTTGGTTCAAATCGGACATTCTATTCGCCTGATATTGTATTTCAAAATATTGAAAATTTTGACCATTTCAGGGGGAGGTACCAGAAGGAGTGGACCAATGTGTCCCATCTTCGGACTTGATCTAGACTTCATAAAGATAATGGGTTGTACAATGTTTGGTTCAAATCGGATAGTCCATTCGCATGATATTATATAATTAATTTTTAGCAATTTTGTGGGGGAGGTACCAGAAGGAGTGGACCGACATTCCGCATCTTCGAACTAGATCTATGTTTGGTAGAAATATTACGATGTGCAAATTTTGTGCACCAGCCGGCCACACAGATGGACGAGCATTTGTAATTCGACTCCAAATTGTCTTAAACGGATTCGGCCCAAAGTAACATGGGGTCTAAAATCAATATTTCATTAGCTGAGGTTATAAAAATAAGCCATGTGTCATTTTACCGTGATAATACAACAGTATGTTTATTTAGAGGATTTGCTTAATGTTTTTATATTTTTCCCTAATACTCAATGTCAGGCATTGCCAATTTATTTTCTATAATAATAATGTAATGTAATGCATGCATACACCTTAGAACGCTCGTGAACGTTCATCACAACAACAATGCAACAACTTCGTTTCAACTTCTTTCGTTAAGTCTCTCATATTCCCCAGCCAGTAAAAGAGAGTTGTACAAGTGTCCGCTTATTTAGTTCTATCGCCGCGTTCATAGAGTGCAGACGTCCGTTGTAGTGATCGGTTGATTTAGTTGTCAAAATAAAAAAATAGGAAAATAATAATATATATTAGAAATAGTTTAATCGAAGTTAAATACATCAAAAAAATACAAAATTCGTTCATATTCGTTCGCGTAATAAATTATTCTGCAATATTCCTCAATCTATTGCAAAATTTTTCTGCTTATAAGATGATGTGTTAGTGTTCGTGTGTGTGTATTTGCTTGTTTGCTTTGTTCTGTATGTTCGGCTGCAATCTGTGCGCATTTGGCTACAAAAAGCTTTTTATGAAAAAATATGTTCCCTATGCAGCAATGTTTCCGTGGTCGTGTCAAAGATGGTAAAAGCTCCACTTCCGTTTGGTTCACGATATGATTGCCGGTATATGAGCTGTATTTTTGTCGCCTATGTGTTTGTTCGCATTCGGTTTAGGTTTACTACAAAAGCTTCATTCAGATAAATTTGTGTTTTTCATTTGTAAAAGTGTTCATTAGATAGTGCGGATTTCAACCATAAAAAGTGTATTAATTTTCGCAGTTGTAGATGAAGCACAAATAATTTATTCAAAAAAATATATTCGAAATAAAGTGTGTGGCGGGAATAAAAAAAAAATTAACAAAAGGTGTAACGAATGGAATACAAATAATTTCAAATATATAGTGAGTGTTAACCAAATAAATGTAGATATAGCAGGCAATAGGAGTTCAAAAAGGTGGTAAGTGCTATCATGTTTCCTTACTTCGATTCTTTTACTGGCCTCTATTGTTTGTTAATCCATATTTACAAATATAATAGAGGATTGATTCGTGTCTTAGCTGTATTGGTTGTTACTACGAACAGAGGTGAATTAATTTAAACAGATCAAATAATGCTGTGGTAGGTACGGGAGGTACTTGTAGGAATAGTGGATTTACAGACGCACTGGAAGTACCCACAACTTCATTTGCGATTTTTTATACCCTCAGATTTATGGCTAATGAGGCAATATACACTTTGATATGCCAAAAATGTGACTCATCGAAATATTAGTTTTAGACCCCATGTTTCTTTGGACTAAATCCGTTTCAGAAAATTTAGAGCCCTCCGTTGTTCGTCTGTCTGACTGGTGCGCACGATAACTCTCGAAGGGAATAATTTTAATTTCACCCAAACTTTCCACATCTTATTATTTCTTTCAAACTTAGTTCAAGTTCGAAGATGGAGAATACCGATTCACTCCTTCTGGTACCTCCCACACAAAATGGTCAAAATTGTGCAGAAAAATAATTTTATCAAGCGAACGGACTACCCTATATGAACCAAACTTTGTACAACCTCTTATCTTAACTAAACATAGATCAAGTCCGAAGATGCGACCCATTGGTCCACTCCTTCTGGTACCTCCCTCACGAATGGTCAACATTTTCAATACTTATAAATGAAATATCAGGCGAATGGATTGTCCGATTTGAACCAAACTTTGCACAATCTATTATCTTTAGCAAGCCTATATCAAGTCCGAAGATGGGACCCATTGATCCACTCCCTTTGGTACCTCCCCCACAATGGGACAAAATGTTCAATATTTATAAATCCAATATCAGGCGAATGAATTGTCCGATTTGAACCATACTTTGCACAAACTTTTAATAAATTCGAAGAACAGAGCATCCGATTCAAACTTTGCAGAATCTTATATTTTAATAATGTCTGTATATTGTCTGTCCACTCCTTCTATTAACCTCCCTCAGAAAAGGTAAAAAATTTAAAAACTTGTATGAAACGAACGGAATACTCAATTCTATCCCAACTTTGCACATCGTAATATTATTACCAAGTCTAAATCGAATCCAAAGACGGGACCCATCGTATTGTATTTTTTGATCACTCTCGCTACATCATGAAGATTACTCCTAGCTTGCCTGAGGCAAACCTGTTCACAGGCTACGGCAAGAGAGTTCCCGACGATAACAACCAAGGAGGTACTGTATCGACAACATTTAGTTGTGTCAATGGACCATGGTCATAAGAAGACAGTCTGCTTCATTTCTTAGGACGACATTTTGGCAGGTCGGAATATTCTTCCACTGCACTTACACTCGCATTGGCCGTCCTATTCCTTTATATGAGGTCAACAAGGTCTCCTTGTCAGCAACCCTATAAACAGCCGGTTTAGCTAACACGGGACTCGGTTCCGAATTAAAAATGATTTTTTTCCGAAGTTTCTGTTCTCCATCGAGTTTTATGTTTAGCGTAAGCTTCATTTTAGCTGCCAAAGGGGTGATTAGGAATTTAGCTATATAGAATATTACCCACTCAATTATTATCCCAAATTTCAAACACGTTCGGTGTTTCGTCTCCTATATATCATCGAACTGTTTGCCATGTTTGACATTTGTTGCCGGTACGATTCTCCTCTTCGGACATCCTTGCTATTTTCTTCAGTAGTGGTACCACACTACTTTTTTCCCGCTTCAGGAACTATGTGTGTGGTTAACGACAAATTGAGGGCTGCTGTTAACTACTCGGCTCCGAGTTCTTTCAGTTGTTTAATTTCGTCCGTGCTCAATACTTTATGAAATCTACACCATTGAGGTGCTATATAAAAAGCCGGTTTAAATAACATGGGCACCTTTTCCGATCTCTCAAACATACGTCGTTAAATGTGAGATCCATCTTTTCTTCCAGAGTTCGAGAGTGACTTAACCATTGTCCACAATTTACTTGTTCCGGGTTGTACACCTGTTTTAAAATCTTAAATAGTTGTCTGATGGTAGAACAAAAATCAGTTTTGTTTACCTTCTATAGGAGAAAATATTGAAACACCGTAATTTGCTTTATTTTGTGTTTCTCATGATCTTTCCACAAATCTTTCATTCATGGAACCAAAGAAATAATAAAAAGTAATATTTTAAGCTTTTCTCGATTTATAATTTTTAATCTTACTATACAAAAAAATTAATATTAATTATTATTTTGAAAATAAAAATTTAAAGACATTAAAATTCTATTGCAATATTTAGTAAAAAAACCCTCTTAAAACATACAAATTTAAAATCTTAACCAATCATCATCGTTATTATCATCCTGTGATGGTGGATCTTCTGGTGGCTGTTCCTGTTGTTGATGATCTTCATGTAGGCCCGAGACATCACCATAAGCTGACATTTGTTGTATTTGCTGTTGTATACCCATCATTGTGTGTGCAGCACCACTGTTATTATCCGCCCCTGCAATATCCTGTTCCATTTGATGCGTGAAACCACCCTCCTTTTTGGGGCGGGCATTATCATCGTCATCATCACTCTCCGAGATGGCTAAATCATTATTAATATTCATGTGATGATCTTGATTCATTGGTGCGGCACTTTCCTGATGGGCATCTTCATCTTGTGGTAAAAATTGTGATACATTTGATGTTTGATATGTGGAATCGGTGGTGGAAGTGGCATTAGCGTTGTTGTTACCACCACCTAAACGATTGTGCATTGTAAGGAAATCAGATGGATCATAGTTGGGATCCAAGTCCATTGATTCTTCTGTAAAAGTGATATTGAATTGTTTAACAATTCCTTTTAGATTATAACAATTACTCTTACCTCCAACAATCTGTGGATCTTCGATTTTCATTTCTGATTTAATATGATCGGAATGTAGGGCCTCGGAACCCTCACCTTCACTGCCACCGGCATTTGACATCGAATGCATACGTTCGCCCTGATCTAAGATATTTGCTGCACTATTCTCATCTTCGGAGACTTCTTGGAATTCATCATCTTCATCCTCGGTGGAACACTGTTGATCTGTGGCCAGAAAAAAGAAACATATGATTTAATATTTTCCGTTAAAAAACAACTTTGAAGCATTAATTATATATTTTTTGAAACTGAACATAAAAAGGACAATACTTTATTGAGTCTAAAAAATAGAACAAAAAAATTACAATTTAGTCAAACAAATATACAAACAAGTGTATATACAAGTAGTACTTGAAATAAAATTAATAATTTGGAATTTGTACAAACTAATTGGGGGTAAGACACATATACATATATTATTGCTGTATAATTTGATATTCCGCGAGATGTTTATAGAGACCTCAATATTTAAGATGGAGCTTTGAAATTTGGCCATAAATCAAAGTCCTAAAAATATTTCATATTTAAAATACTTAATCATCCTTATTACGGATGGCGTAGTCGTGTTGAAAATTTGGCACTGTCGCATTTATACGACAAATCGGTATTATGAAAGGCGTTACAATACGCCAAATCTGTCGTGAACGATTTTTTTGACGACAGCATACAAAAATATATAAAAATGTGTTAAAATTGCATTTTAAAAATATTTACTGATTCAACTTTATTTTATTGCATTACTCAATATTCATAAGAATTAAAATTATCACAAAAATTAATTAGAAAACAAACAAAATTACATAGTTTTTCCAATACAATATAAAAAGAGTATGGACCGAAAATAACAGTTATTTTTTAAAATGCTAACAAAAAAATCTTCATGTTAGAGACATGGGACATCAATAGTGTCATATACCAATAGATTCGTATTGAGGAGCCCATTAAGGATATTGAGTGATCTTGAGAAAACACTCTCAGTTCCCATGTTAAGGATTATTTTTAATGGAAAAAATAAACGTTGATTTTTAACTGATAAAAATGATTTTTATTTTTTCCGTCAAAAATAAGTCTTTTTGGGATTTTTATTTTTTCCGTCAGAAAATTAAAGTCTTTTTGGGATTTTTATTTTTTCCGTCAGGAAATAAAACTCTTTTTATGTAAAGAAGTTTATACAACTTGTAATCAGTTATAAAATTACAATTTATAAATCTCTGTCCTTATTACAATAAGTGTACACATACGTAATCAAGATCAAAGGTAAAAAATATTTGTTATAAATTTTTAAAAAAATAGTCTAGTGTACCAAATCATGAATATAAATTAAAGAATCATTCCCCTGACTATTAAGTCAAAGGTTATATAACTGGTACCAAACTCTATATGTTTATTTACGTAAAAAGACTTTTATTTTCTGACGGAAAAAATAAAAGTCACAAAAAGAATTTTTTTTACGGAAAAAATAAAAATTTCAAAAAGACTTTTATTTTTGACGGAAAAAATAAAAATCATTTTTATCAGTTAAAAATCAACGTTTATTTTTTCCGTTAAAAAATAAATAATTAAAGTGGATTTTTTTTTATTTAGGTCACATAATAACAGTTATTTTTTACCTGATTTGATATAAGTTATAACCGTTACGGTCCCTGAAAAAGGGTTCTAAAAGAACAATTTTTGATTTGGTTTTGTAACAGAGTAAAAGAAAAATCTATTACAATATTTGGCGTTGTCGAAAATTTTACATAATACCGACCAAAAACGGCTACGACAACGCAATCGACTACGCCTACGAGAGCTGCCGTACAACGACTACGCCTACCGTAATAAGGGTGCATATTTTTTCATATAGCCCCCCATATAACGGTTCATTTCCCATTTCCTACCATAAGGTGATAAATTTGTCATTCCGTTGGTAACACCTCGAAATAATCTTCTGAGACTCTATAAAGTATGCACATTCTTGATCAGAAAAAAATTCTATGTCAATATAGCCATGTCCCCCTGTTTGTCCGTCCGATACGAATTGAGAACATTGCTTTATCCGGACCTTAGTTGTGCCAGAATTGAACAGGTTTGCCTAGGAAGAAGCCTCTCGACATGTATGTCGTTATATGTCGTTACCAACGTTTCTTTATCCTTGTCCCAGAAGGTGCCAGCCGCTTCCGGAAGAAGTTGGTGAAATTGGAATTTCTTGGACTTACGTCGTCAATGTTAACGCAGGACGTAATAATCATACAGTCATCGGTTCATCGACACCAATGAAACGCAAGGCGGGACTCCCATTTTGATCTTGCGATATTCGGATTTTTGGCCACGGAACTCAACGAAGGCCTGCCGCCCATTAATGTAGTTGGCAAGTCAACGCTGGATATCACTCGGAAGGGTGGAATTTGTGATGTCGGATATCAGCTCGGAATGATCGACCGTATCAAACGCCTTGGACAGATCTAAAGTTGTCACAATGGTCCGTTCAGGTGGTCGTCGCTGATTGATGCCATTTGCAATATTGATCTTGCGATATTCGATTTTTGGATTTTTCATTGACGGAACAATAGAGACTATAAAACCTTGGCTACTGGTTTTAGAATTGGAATAATCCGGGCAACTTTCTAAATGTCAGGAATTACAAACTGTGACATAGATAACTCGAGAACTTTGGTCAGATAGCCCAGCCCCATTGCTCCAAGCTTCTTTATCATGAACATGGATATGCTGTCTGGATCAAGGGCTTTGGATGGCTTGGATTTGGAGATAATTGGATACTGGGAATAGGTTTGAAATCAACATGTACAATTCCCCAGGGTGCGGAGAATGATTAAAATACGCTCTTTCTCACGAATGCTCACCGCAAGAATTGAAATGTTTTCAATTTATCGCGAATGATAAATCTTTCGCGAGCATTTGTTGCTGAAGAGCATTCTCAAAAAACAAATGTTCGCAAATGCTCGCGAGCATAAAAAAGTAAACATACACAGCGAATGAATGTGTCTGTAGCGAATGTCAGATTGATCGTTGTTGTGTGGTCTCACTCGTTTGTTATGTACGTGCGAACATTGGCGAATGCTCGTTTGGTAAAAAATTTATCGCGATAATTTCATTTGCAAAATGAGCCCAACACGATTCACATCTGCTAGCATCCTTACCAAGATTTAGTAGGGGGAACATCCCGACTATATTTCAGGCTTCAGTAACAAGGTGAATGCCCAACGATAGGATGAGTACATCAGTTAATAACTCTACTCAAGGTTCATCTAGCTGCAAAAACATCATCATTGAGATTCCATACGGGCCAAAGTTTTGGATGACTTTGCGTTTCGAATGACATCTACCCGGAGGGATCTTATACGACGAAACACACTCATTTTTGCCTTGACACTCTCTACGGACTGCAGTTTAAAAAACTCGTGCATCTCGTTGGATGTGTCACAGTTCTGCAAGTATTCCATTACCACTCTTAATAGATTATTTCTTGGACACCTTAATTTTTCTTTTGCCTTCAGCGATATTTCTTTCTATCTGGTAGACCTCTCTTTGTTTTATTTTTTTCAATTTATCATAGTTCCACCAGTAGGTTTTTGTCTCTGGTAATAGTCAGTAGGATTGACAGAAGACCTTCATTGAATATTTTATTTATAGGAGGCCTTATGTGAATTTATATATAAATATAAGTCATGTAAAGCTTTCCAACAAAATATATATATTATTGTAGAAGACCTTATAGGTCCTCCCCAGAGATGGTCCGTCAGAAACAGTGACGTAAATGACATACATTTTCGACATATATTACATACGTCAGAAACGTCGGAAACCCACCCAAAACAATTAGGGTTTTACAAAATAACTATTTCCATTAATGAATTTGGAAATTACGCATGCTTTATTGAAATCCATAAAAATTTCAAAAAAATTTTCTCCGAAAGGTTTAGAATTTTGTATTAGTTCTAGTAAGGAATAGGATATATGTAAAAATAATATGGATTTTTGAAAATAACGGTATATGTTAATAATATTCGAATAAATGACGTTTTATACATTTATTACATTTTATACAGGTATATGACGTTTTCGACGTTTACACCTTTTTGACAGTCGAAAACCTAAAAATTCGTCATACGGACCATCCCTGGTCCTCCCATGAGTAGAAAAAGGTTTATGGTCTCCTGAAGATGTAAATAAAAGTACTGCTATATGATAATTGTTCTTCCCATAAAATATCTTCGGTTGTTTCATTATATTTGTATATATTAACATATATACATAAAATTGTTCATAAATAAACACTAATAAAAACAGATTTTACTAAAATCGTCGACAAAAGTAACAAAATAGTAACTAAAAAAAAGATATTGAAAAGAGAAAGAAAACACATACAAAAGCAAGTCTGTGCAAAAAAAATGAATTGGGTGATGTTGTGCAAACACTACACAATTATATTAGTTTTTACAATAATTATTAAACATCTCTAGGAGCATATAGCAATATAGAAAATAATTGTTAGTAAAAATATAATATTTTGTGGTTAGATTTGTTTTCAAAGATAAATTAAAACATATTAAACTACTCTTTACAAAGTGGATGTGTATGTGTGTTTTTTGGTAACAAATAGATAGAAAGATAGAAAGCAGTATTAGTCTTACCTTCTTCCGTAAAAGAGGAATTATGTGGGTTACTTATATTTGAGGTTAAGCTGTCCTTACGGGGACGACCGCGACCACGTTTAACAGCATTCGCATTAAATTTAACTAAAAGTATAAAATTGTGTAACGCAATAGTTTCCATAGATAGATAGATTGAGTTTGATTTTTTTATTAGTTATCATCGTTAATTTTTGGTTTGGCAATTTCAGGGAGGATGAGAAGAGTTTGGATTTGATTTTGAAGAAAAATAAATTGAAAGAAAAAAATAAACTTAAACATTTAAAATCGACATCATGGAATAAATACCAGAAAACAGTTTAGAAGGGAAATTATAAGGGATAACTATTAACGATGATAATTTAAGGAAAAACATAGAAACACAGAAAAAAATAATTATTACAACATTCAAGTAAAGTGTACATAGATAGATTTCATTGTTTGAATTAATCGATCTTTTAAGGAGATCTATTTTTAGAAGTATTCATCTTTGCTACTGCATACGTCTTGCTGAACTATAATTGTACAAAAAGAGAGTGAAACTGAATTCTACCAGACTCCTGTGGTTGGTGAAAAGCCTAATGATGTATTAGGTCCGATTAACTTGATACCCTTTAAAATAACCAAGTGTCGCAAAACGGTACTCCCGTCGAATTTGTTTTCCTTTTTTCATTCCATTTGGGAACATAGGGCATTTACAAGAAAAAAAATTCTATTTTAATGGTTTTAATCTCTTCCCCTATTTTGTTAATTTTTCTTATTTCTAGAGCAATAGTTCTGCGCCTCGTATTTCTAGGAAGGCCAGGTCTTCTGGAGCCTTGAGGATTCCAATCTAGTGCGGCTTTGGCTATGCTTTCATGCTTTCGTTTTATTCCACAGTTCCATATTTGCAAATTTGTTCGGCAAAAATATGCGGAAAATAATACGCAGACATTTGTTTATGAAGACTTGGAGTGTCTGAAACATTGATTTTGATAACATACACTTCATATAGTAGTATAGATTTAACAAATGCATTGAATATGTTTAATTTTGTCCAGAGAGATAAATGCGGCGATTTCCATGTTTTATTTAGACGGCCAAATGCGGACCTGGCTTTGTTGAGTCTATTCTTAACATCATCTTCAATTCTTCCATCTGCACTCATGAAGCACCCTAGGTAGCAGAAGGATTTTACGTATTTCAGGGGTTCGTTGCCAATCTTTAATTGGTTGTCAGATGCGTTGGTTGTCAGATGCGTATAAAGCTTGTGTCTTTTTATATTTATTTCAAGCCTTACTTCTTTTGCACGGAGTACGAGGTCTTTTAATTTGTCTTGCATGTCGACGAACTTATGTGACATGAGACAAATGTCGTCAGTAAAGTCTAGATCCTCCATATGACGTTGGAAATTCCAAACTAAACCTCTTTCGCTTGTCGATACATTTCTAATCAAGAAGATATTGAAGATTGTGAGGACCTTTCCGGAAAGTGGATGGACAATGGAATGTTTCAAATACCTAGTAAAACCACTATATGTGATACCTCAAATGAGAACAAGGTAGATCTGACGGTGGACAATAGTCATTGAGGAAAATTGTAACTACTATAACTTGATTTCAACATGTCATAAAGAGAATATTTTCCTTATATATCGTGACAAAAAGCCAAAATATCTTCGTCTCCATTGTCTAGAAAGAGGGAATACTACAGGAACAAAGAAGCCTTTAGATGTATGGCAGTTTTTGTTTTAAATCCGCAAGATGTAAGCTTAATTTAAAAAATACTGTGCAATAGATTTGTAGGCTCGGACGGGTAATTGAATATATGGAGTGTGTCGTGAGGGATTTGCTGGCAGGAGGGACAACTGTTAAGGTTTCCTCTCCCGATATGAGTTGAGAACATTGCTGTATCCGGACCTTAATTTATGGCTTGCTGTATCCGGACCCAATTTATAGCTTCGGATACCGCCAGTTAATGCGCGGATTTCATAGTGGTCGCTATAGGCTTTGCTGGCAGGAGGGACACCGGTTAAGTTTCCTCTCTCGATACGAGTTGAGAACATAGCTGTATCCGGACCTTAATTGTGCCAGAATCGAACGGTGTTGCCTAGGAGAAGCCACTCACTCTCCGAAATTGCAGGAGGATGTTAGAATAGGACTTTATTCCATCTGTAGCCATTTATGGCTTCGAAGACTGGCATCACGGATTTCATCGCGTTCGCTATCGACAATATTTTGACGTCCGATGGAATGACGTCTTGGATGCTATCACGTTAGAGCCTGAAGTCTTGACGGATGTGTCACGGAGGTGAATCTGTCATCACTGTGTGATGGTTGGGATAATACGGCAGATGCCAGCAACAACTTTCAGTCAACAACACATTATGTTGCTTGACTGACAGAAACTGGTATCCTCATTGATGTGATCGACGCTCATCATCTGGACACATCCGGTTGCAATTCTGAGTGCATTATTTTGAGTTGTTTGCAAGGATCTATATTGTGTGTCGCAAAGGAAAGAAGTACAGACTGAGGTAGTATAATTAAGAATGGAACGATCTGTGGCCTTATATGTCGCTATCAACGTGTCTCTATCCTTGCCCCAGGAGATGCCAGCCAAAGCTTTCAGTACGTTATTCCTAGCTTTCAACTTCGGTTAATGTAGTTAGAATGCGGGGAGAAATTAAGGAGGTTATCGGAGACCACCCCAAGGATTTTCAGATTTTTTGGACGGTGGAAATGTAAAGTTCTAAATTGACTTCTCGAGTCCATGGAAGTGAAAAGTGACACAGTAGACTTTGTAGTGGATAATTTTAGATTGCGCTCCCGAACGAAGTTGGAGATGGTGGCTAAATAGTTGAAAATTTTTGCACTTATGTCGTCAATGTCAACGTCGGACGAAATAATCGTACAGTTATCGGCATACGACACCACTGAAACATGTGGTGGAGGAATGGGGAGTTTCGCAAAATACATGTTGAACAAAATGGGAGATAGGACACCGCCTTGCGGTACTCCCATTTTAATCTTGTGATATTTGGATTTTTGGCCATGGGACGCAACGAAGGACTGCCGTCTATTAAGGTAATTGGCAAACCAACGTTTGATATCACTCGGAAGGGTGGAATTTGTGATCTCGGATATCAGTTCGGAATGATCGACCATATCAAACGCTTTGGACAGAATGTTGGATGTTATTGAAGGAAATAGCAGGGAGATTTTTATTTCTTTTTGGAACCAGATATACTCTTAATTGTAGACAAATTGGTGATTGGAATGTATATTGCAGTGGTTAACGTGTTCTAACCATTTAGAGCACCTATGCTGAAGAACTAGAGCATCTAATTCAGCGCTTAGCTGCAGGATTCTGTGGTCAGCGTGCTTTCGGAGTTGATCGCGTTGCTGTGCCAATCTGGATGCCTTGGATGGATAGTTTGGCCTCATTAGAGGAATTCTGCCCACAGGAATGAAGCGTTTATTAATTAATTAATTTGTAGTAATCTACACTTTTTATATTTTATCACGACGACATAGAAATTAATTCGACTGATTGAAACAAAATATTCTGCATAGGTCTTAGGAGTTTCCTCGAACACAATCTTAAAACAATATTAAGTTTTTTTTTTGAAATTATACTAAATAAATTTAAAGTAAATGTTAGTATTTCATAGATAATTGTAAACTAGATAATGATTAGAAGAGATATATAAGAAAATGTACAAGAATCGTTTCATTTTGCATTTGATATAATATTGTAGGTTATGGTACTACACTTTCTCTATAGTTAGACTATATATATGGAGAGATTTAAATGTGATTAGTAAAATATGCAATTAATATTTTTTTTATTTAATAAAATACCACAGCCCATTGATGAGAATTGGTAGAAATTAGTAGTAAACCAAAAAAAGCTTTCAGAGAAAAGTGGCGAAATATAATTTTTTTTGCAATTTAGTTTTTTTTTTTTTTTGCCTCTTTGTAGAAAGAATTCCAACATAATTTAACAACTTGACACTTCTAACACTCTCAGATCACAACATGTATGTTCGTTGGAAAATATAAATAAATATATTTTAATTCAAAAATTGGCTTACCTTCTTCAGTTATATCGCGAAGTTTACGTGGTCTACCACGACCACGTTTTATGTCATTTGGAGGTTGCATATCGGGATTTAAACCGGTATTAAGAGATATTAAACCACCAAGACCGCGTTGTAATGTGGCCGATGATGATGATGGTCTCTCATTGCCCTCCACATCAATAAATTCATTTTCTGGTGTACTCGAACGACTGGTTCGGGTATAATCATATTCTTGATCTTCCACACCACCCCAGGTGTCATCCAGATCAGCATCAACTCGTGCACGTTCCTGTACCTTGGCAATATTCTGCTCCAATTGCAGGCATTGTTCTGAACTCTATGGAAGGAAATTTAAATTATAAAAAATATTTTGCAACAACAAAAAGTGTCTGGATATATTTGAACTAATTTTTGGGAGGCATGTCCTCAGTATCCAGTTTGTTATTATGTTCATTAAAAGATTTAGCGAATAGATAATAGCTTCTTACGCTCAGAAATTGACTCTGAACCTGTTTTGTCGCTCTTAATCTCGCAATCCGTAAATCACACACATTTAACTTATTTTTCTTCTTTAATACAAAAGAGTACCTTACCTCCTCCAATTGTGTGCGAGCAAATTCTAAAATATGCTTTGCATTTTGTGTAAATCTTGATTCACTGCCATTATACTGTTCACAATTTGCGGCAATTAATTCAATGTCTGCCAAGAAATCAGCTCTAGAGTGGTATTGATGAGCTGTAAAACAAAACCAAACAATTAGAATAAAAACTTAATTAATATTGAAGAAGAAAAGCAATTGATATTTACCTTCAATATTTTTACCAATCGTTTCCAAATCCATTGGCCTCTTAATAATCGTATAGTAGTCTTTAACTTGTTTCTTATTGACCGGTTTAAGGAATGGCCAACTTTCTTGCATTGTTTTAATTTTTGTATGCAGTTTTTCCAATATAAATGATAATGCCACCTGATCATCATCATCTAGCAGGGGATTAATTGCCTTTTCCAAACGAGCCAACTTTTCTTCTTTTTCAGCCATTAAATCACAACAATTCTTGTACATACGTTGGGCAGCCGATGTGAATGAACTATTCAGACCGTTGTATAGGGTAGAGTTTTCCACAATTTGCTTTAAGTCCGCCAAAAATGTTTCACGTTTGTGATAACGTTTCTGGCGTATATTGTCACGCATTGTTTGCAGGTCCGTGGGTTTGGTAACAATGCGATAATAATCGGGGACCATCTAAGAATAAGAAAGAAACGTTTTAAAAAAATAAATTAATTTTTTATTGACACTTTACCTTGGCATTAACGGGAAACATAAACGGTGTAACATCCGGCATTGCCCTTAGCACATTTAAAATCTCTTCCAAAATAGATGACAACACCACAACCGGATCGGTACGTCTACGATTGGCAGTTTTATTATGACGCTGCAGGTAATCACAGTGTATATCACTGGCTTTGCGTTTCTTTTTACCCATAACATCTTTGGGCACTTTCAGTAGAAGACCCTTTTTGCTGCGTCCCAGCAAACTTTCATCGTGGCGCTTTAGTACTTTGCTACTCAATGTCACCTTGGTACCATCAACATTAACCAAATCATCATCATCACAATTGATTTCACGGCTTTCGGGCTCTTCTTCAGGTTCATCCATTACCGAAGAATTCATTGATGAATTACCTGGACCCTGTGTTCCCGTGTATAGAGGACAAGCCTTATTTGTACGCATGTGACCAACCTGCCCGCAGGCACCACATTTCAATTTCAAATCTGGTTTCAATTTGAATTTCTTTCTTGATGGACTCACTTCCTTGTGGCTGTTATCCCGTTCTTTGTGTGAAGAACTTTGTGAAGTCTTGGGATCACCCAAAGATGTAGGCATACCACCGGGTTGCAGTTTTTGATTCTGTGCCAATTGGGCCAGACGTTCTTTTTCTTGGTTACGTTTGATACGTCTCAGTTGTTCTTGAATTCTTCTCTTTTCACGTTTCATTTCTTCCTTTTGTTGTTCATCGAGAGTGGCAAATTGTTTTATAAACTGTTCATCCTTGGTGGTGCGGATCTTGACATATGCATCAATTACCGGTTGTCGCCTCACTGTTTCTACACGGGTATATTCCTTGCCTTCCTGATCCTTAAAGGTTCTGGTGATTTTCAATATGCGTCCCAAATTTGGCTGTGATTGTTGTTGATTTTCTCCCGATCCGTCTTTGTTTTTATCATTCTTTTGTTTATTACCCTCCTCGTCTTCCATCATTTTCTTTAACAATTCTTGTCTTTCTTGTTCTTCACGTTCGAGGGTCAGTTGGGTAGATGTTTTCTTATTGGATAACATATTTTCCAAATTTTTACCCAACTCTTCCAAATCCGATTCTTCTGAGGCAGATGATTCATCTTCATCGGTGGAAAGTACTTCGGAACTGGCGAGTACCCGATTTTGTAAATCGAATATACGTTGACATTCTTCTTTATAACGTTCTTGATGTTCGGCAATGGAGAAACGATTACCTCTGGAGAATTTATCCATTCCTTGTTCGCCAGCCTTAGCTTTTTCTGTTGACAAAGTACGTACAACATCAATAACTTCCCATCGAGATAACTTCTTAATTTCCTCCTCGGGTACTTTAAATTTACGCAATAATTCCTTGGCCCTCTGCAGTGGTAGACGACGTAAATCGGCATCTGTACCGGTTACAGTACGTTTTGGTTGGGATTCTTGTTCTTCTTTTGTTTGCTGGATGTGTGATTTGAAAATTTTATTTTATCAAATATTTAATTTCAAATAAAATTTATTTACCGTTGGTTTATTTGGTACCCTCACATATGAGAAACCTTCACCACAACCTGTGGGATCAGCAGGGCCAGTAAGTTGCAGCAAACATTTGCCACGCATGGCTTGTATGTAGGCCCTGTAAATAAGCAATAGAGAATTAAATTTCTTTCCCAATTAGTTAGAAGTATTACTTACCTTGTCGTATTCCATGGAGCCACCTTAACTTCGTCATCCAATTTCAATTGAGATTCCTCATCATCATCCTCCTGTGGAGCAAATATGGATTTCTCACCATAACCCGCATCCTAAAAGAACACACAAAACTTATTTTATTAATATGCCAATCTATATTTTTTCTATGTATTCCTACCTTTAAACGTTGCTCTGCGGCAATCATACTAAAGTAAGCACAACATTGCTCGGGAGAAACCATCGAACGAATTTCTTCCTCAGATGGTAGACGAAATTCGGGTTTAATAACCCACCAATTGGAGTCCATACCAGTACGTTTGAAATCAGCACATTGTTTCAGCCGTTTACGTATACTACTTTCCGAATGGGCTGGGAAGGCCCGCTTTATATCATCCATACGAATACGACGTGGATTATCTTTACTTTTCCAGAAGAGACGATAAATGAAGACTTGTAAGAAGTCTCGAGTAAAATTATTAACCCTCTTCGAGTTGGGTCCCGGAACCTCATACAAAGGACACTCTTGACCTACCGTGAACAGAGCATTAAATTCACGTATATAATAATTATTACGCGTTCGTATAACCAAAAAGTCTGTGGGATTTACATTGTGTGGATAGATGGGAGCACGATACATATTATTTTCCAATGCCTGTATACACTGGCCGGGATGTAAGATACCCAAAAAGGGACTGGTGTGGGCAATTGCTGTTTCACCATATTTGAAGTCTTGTGGTCCATTATCTTTGGTGGCCTTACGTTTGTAATAGTTTTTAATTTTCGAACACATGCCAACTTGATTCATTAGAGGAGGATGTTCTTCACAGAACTCAGCTAAAATGATATCTCCATCTTTGCCACTCAAATCTTCAGGATTACGCATAAAGAAGACATCACCACCACCCGATGCAATTCGTTCAGCATCTCTTTGCTTAGCCTTTTTAATGATATGCTTAAGCAATGGCAGTACTGGATGTGGTACCGGCTGTGACAGCGGACCATAAGAGTACTTTTTCAGCGGAGGTCTGTGGAATGATCTCAGTTTCATTGGACCCATATGTGTGGGTATAAATGGCGACCTCAATTCTACCACAGGGGTTGAATGTTGTATTAAACTACCTCCACCAACTTTGAGGCGTAATGTTGGTTCAGTCTTAGGCATATAGTAACTGTCATTGGAAATATTAAATGGATCTCTGTCTGGACTTTTTGGTGGTGGAGGTGGGGTATCTTCAGCCAGTACATTAATAACACCAGCTTTACCCAATAGAATTTTTGATTTCTTAACATGAGGATGGGGAATTTTAATTTTCGGTGGTGGTCCAGTATTCTTATTGATTTTCGATGGATCAATATCATCCGGAATACCCAGGATAATATTCTCATCATTTGGATCCAATGTCAATACTTTGGGTTTTGGTATCTTGGGCATTTCTTCAGCATCCCAAATGATTTCATCTTCCCATTTGCTGTAAATTAGTTCCTCATTTTCCACTGGGAAAATACTGTACCAGGTATCATCCACAGCTTCTGCGGGTTTGGCGGGTAAGCTAAAGAAACGCAAAATCAATTTTAATATAAAATCATTTTCTTATTTACTTTACTGTACTTACTTTTGATTTGCCTTTTGTTTACTTGTTGAACTACCACCTGCGCCTGAAATTTTTCCTGATGGCCCTCCGGTCACGGGCAATGCTTTACCAGCCGGTGTAAATGCTCTCGAGCCACTGGATGGCAGCCAACCGGCAGCATTTGTTTTTGAATTTAGTTTTTGTAAAACTTTAGCCTTTATTTCGTTACCATCCCAGACCACTTCATCTTCCCAATGCAATTGGGATACCATGAGGAAAGCATCATCTGCAATGGCCGCCTCTTCCTCCTCCTTTGTTTGTTCTTCCTTTTTGGCTTGTGCTTGTGGCTTAGAATGTTTCATTTCTTGTTTACTTTTAAAACCGTAATTGAAACCCTCTCCTGAATCGGGTACATCTAACATATCGTACCAAATTTGTGCCGGGCCATAGCGCCAATCGGCAATTTTCGGTTTATTATCTGTGTTATCACCATTTTCTGGTTCCTGTTTAACATCCTCATCATTGAAAATACTCAAAAGTTTATCTTCATCATCTGATTGGCATTGTGAAGGCATGGGATCGGGGCCATAGTGAATACCAAAACCTTTTTTACGTGGCTCCTCCGAATCACTTGTAGAATCTGAACCTGGATTGTGAGGTTTATGATCGCGTGATTGTTTACGTTTTCGCCTGCGCTTCTTAACATGACGCCAAATTTGTGGAAGACTTGAAGGTTTGCCGGGACCAAATAATCGTGAAAATCTCAAGATTTTACCCGGTCTAAAATCAGGAAATAGTTCGCGAACATCGACATTAGCATACTTTGAGGGTAGCATATCGGCCAGTGGTGTGTCCAATTTACGTTCAGAGGCTAAAAATATAAAATTTGACAATTAGTTATATTATTTAGATAGGGAAACAATTTCCTTACATTTCTCTGGTTTAACATCCGAATCCATGCCACTATCTGATCCACTTTGTTTACTTTGCGCTTCTTGTGTTGAATTGGGTTGTGTTCGTACGGGGGTGCTGGGCGGTGGCATCAATTCCTTATCATCCTTGGCCGAAGAACAAGCATTACTCTGCACCTTTGATGCCGGTATAGCATCCTCCAGATCTTCCAACATATTGGAGGGATCTGATTTATTTTCCGTCTCTGTGGCTTGTACTTCTGCCGGTGGTGTCTTGGGACAATCTTCCGATAGTTCATTTATATCGGAATAATCAACGGCATCAGAATCTTTTATAATTTCGCCCGTTTCATCTTCTTGACTTTCTTTGTTATCCACAAATCCTGATTTGAGGGCATCAAAATCACTCATTGGTTTCTTCTCCTCCTCATCTTCATCATCGGCATCCTCTGCTTCAATTACTTCGCTCAGCATGGAATTTAAACCCATTCTAGAAGAAAATTTACAATAACAACAAGTATATTTCCATATTTGAGTAATTGGTCTCACTTTGACAATGAACCCAGATGTTCCTTTAATTCCGGATCGAATGCCCCCGCTCCATCATCATCCATCAGCTTGCCCTCCGAGTCAATATTACCAAATAGAATACCAGTTAAATCTATACCAAATCCTCCACCGCCATGATTACTGCCGCCGTGATTAGATCCATTTCCCAGAGATCCATCATCATCACTGTCGGTATCCATGCCTGCTGATTTCTGTTGAGTGGCTTAAGTTTTCAATGAGATGAACTTGATTTTTTATTGCTCAATTGTTTCACCGCTGTTTTCTGATAATTTATTTAATTAATTTTAATAATAATATATTTATTTTTCTATTTTATTAGCGGCAAAACTAAAGCGTTTGACAATTTCACGAAAAAAAACACACAATAACAAAACCGCTGTAAGTGGCCAGGGTTCTCTAGATCGAAAATGGAACAGGGTTGTACAAATCGATTGTGGTGGTTTGGCGATACTTTAAATTATGAAAGATTTTTTAGTCAGCATTTTTAGTGTTGTAAAACGTGCGTTAATCTATTTTATCATAAATATATACCGTAAGCTTAATTACATACACTGGTGACCAAACTAAAGCAACTGAAATTGCAAACTGATTAAAAGAATTGTAACATTTTTGAAAATAAAGATATAGGGCCAATATATACATTTTCAGTCTATTCGATTGAAAATGTTCCCACAATACTGAATAATAGCTGGTACTTAGACTTTATACCCAATGGGAATGCAATATTACAGCATATTTGCATAAAAATTTGTTGCGGGGTAGCTAAAACGCAGTCTTTTGTCGAAAGCCAAAAAAAATTTTGCGTGGAGGGGCCTTAGGAAGTGACTTTTTTCGCCTACGAGGTAGCCACTAACCACGAGTTTCCACCAGCTCCCATTATGCGGTAGAGTTGGGGGAGCTGGAGGTAGCTACAATGGACACTCCCGGGATGACAAGCCACTGTAATGCCTCTTTTGGCCTGCCGTGTCCATTATGTTTGTTCTAAGGGGTTAGTATATATTTGCCAGGGTGGTGTTAGTAATTTAGCACAATATTTGGTGTGTGCTCTTTTTCGTTGGGATGACCCTTTATTGGGATTCATCCATAATGGCAGGGCAGCCTCCTGTGCGTCCGGGTTTTGACGCGACTGTCCCCGAACCCAATTACTCCATGATCACAGTCCAGGAAAAATACATTTGTTTTTCTCGGCCAAGTAATAACAAAAAGTCAGCCAACTTGTCCACGGATGACGTTATTCCTTATGGCCGAGAATAATCCAATGTTTTTTTCCAAGACTGCGGGGGAAACCTGAAAAGAAAAATAGATTAATAAAATATTTTATAAAAAATTACAAAAAAAAATGTGCTATTAGCTCTAGAAAACTTTGTTGATGTGAAGCAAATGGTGAACCGCGTTGCCAACCACTTTTTTAGTAGTGGAACCTAATTCATTCATGAATAAAACACGTCTTGTAAGTGCAAGCAAGTAAGGTAGATGGCATGTTCACAAAATCAGAAAATGTCGGATTTATTTAAAATTTTGAAATGTCGGACATTAAACAGGGACAATTGAATGGATGTATGCCAAATGATAACATATGTAAAGAAATAAGAGAGATGATAGGAGTAATGATACCAAATTGTCTGATCGACTAGAGGAAAAGAGTTAGCGGTAGTATAAGATGTAATAAGAAGATTTGGAGAAAATGTCGGGTCTGGAAATATTCCAAGAATAAACCGAACATATAAATAGCCCATAGAATGGCAGAGAAGTCAGTATTGTATAAGTTGGTGCTGAGTGCTAATTAGTTGAGTCAACGATAATAAGGTGTATACGTGTATTTTACGTGTATAACAATTGATAATTTATAAGTGTACAGAGAAAAGTGCACATAATTCAAAAAGGCAAAGGTAAAAGTGATTAAACCCAGTTATTAATGGAAAGAATATATTGTAACAAGCTGAATCTCTGTTTTGGGTAGGTCCAAGTGATCAAGAAGTTCCCGATTATTATCCTTCCGTAATCCTAAAAAGAAGTGCTCTTCCAAAAGTGTGAACGGTTTTAGATCAAAAGTTAAACGTTCACAAGAGGCTAGCAGGGACTAACCATATAAAAAGGACAGTCCGAGAGTTATAAGTAAAGACCGGCATTTGTAACGGTGACACTACGAAAAGAGGTAGGATCCAACCAAATATATTGTACCGCTATATTATTACTACCCGGTAACTAAGGACCTTTGCTCCCAGAAAAACTGGAGACTCACTCTATTATACCACGGTGCTCAGCACCATATTAACTTTTACGTGGAATTAATAATACTTAATATTGGTGTGTGTTTGATATATAAAGTAATGAAGGCAAAACCTCCGAAAAAAATGGTATAAGTTAGCGGTAACAACGGAAGCTAACGTCCACGAATTTCTATCACACCACCAAAAAGCATACCAGTATTTAAATTCAAACGACAGTAAAACCCAATTTTGACAACTTAATTTTTATATTTATTTATTATTTTTTTTTATAATTTATAGTTCATCATTGTTATATGACACATTTTTGTGATTAGTCTTATTATGTATCTAGGTTGGTTTTAAGTGAATATTTATTTGTATCTTAATTAGTTTAATTTTTTTAATAATATTTATTTATAATAATATTGGAGTTAATTTTTATTACTGTTAGAAACCACAGTTGGGTTGTATGCATAGCATCTAAATGTTACAAATAGAGCTCTATTAGGAACGATTAGGAATTGGCTTTACCCGTAGTAGTCCAGTGAATTGGGCGTGCGCTAAAACTCTTTAGTGGGTTCTAAAGACCATAAAATTTGACTTCAATTTTGAATTTTGTTTTGGGTCAACAGACCTTTCGATTTATCCTTCGGAATACCTATAAATATAAGGAAAATAAATAGAATTAATTTTACTTGTAGTAATCAGAAATTGTTATACAGTAATTCCATACATAAATAAATTATCACTTTTAACTAGAAAGTATTAAATAGAAAATATATAGGGTATACAAAAATAGCGGAGATAAGATTAGGTTTAGTTTTGTTTGTAATAAAAGACATGTGAAATAGTATTAAGAGAACATAATGGACTTGTGATTGAAGAAGGAAGGAGGGACTTAAAGGTGAGGTAAGTGGTATGTTATGGAGCGGGATTAGGGGTCAATATGATAATGATGGGAAGGGTTGACCAAGGTAGGGAGGGCGGCTAAATAGGTCATACGGGTTTGGATTTGATGGAGTTGGAAAGTTTTAGATTTAGTATTTTTGTAGATGTAAACCTATCATCTAGGTTACTGTGTACGTTCCTGTGCTGGGAATGCGGGATGGGACCCCCCCTTATGAGAGGCGGCGGAGCTGGCTGGAGTTACCTGAACATCTCCCAGTGGCGAAAAGGGTCACGTAACAAATTGTTCCCAAACTATCCATTATACTGAAATTTAAGATGTACCATTAGGGACTATACCAAAAAGTGTGCTGATATTGGCACCCAAAGTGCACCAAAGTGCGGAAGATTTGCCACCCAACTTATGGTCAATTCAACTGAAAAATGTGCCAATATACTACTGGATAATTTGTTATTGTATTCTAGTTGGTAATATTCTCAATGAGAATCTAAAATATATGATTACAACCTATTTGGTTGACAAATGTTCCCTCAACTCTCTGAAGCTTAGGCTACGTTTAGACTACTAAATCCGCTCGATCCCAAATGTCAATCCTGTTGGATTAAAAAATGGATTTTAAAAATATAAACGTACCTTTATCTTTGATAATTGGTAACAACATTTTCTACCGAATGAGAGCATAAAAATGCCAAATTGGTTAAAAAACGTGTGTATAATACCGTATATTGGTGGTACACCGTAATATGGACGCTTTTAAAGCTCCAGCTTAAATATTGCGAGCTCTATCGTGATTTCAACAAACAGATAGACATGGTCAATTCTCAAGATGATTTAAATTTGTATGATAAATAGTGGTACCAAATTAGAACATTCTAGCTCTAAACGTTCCGTACCCTTATAGTACGAATTTTCACAGACCTATCCCTTTCCAACACTGACCAGTATACAAAACTTCAAGATTCTTTAGAGCGCGTTTAAACTAATAACTTATTATAATTTGCTTAGCAGGCTTGTGACGGACCATTTGTTCCATAAGCCGGGCATAAAAAAGATCTACAGACGCGTCGGTCATGCAAGCAGCTCTTCCAATTTGAAAGACCATGTTTGAAAATCTCCTCTTCCACTTGATCATTACATCTAATTCAGTGTTGAACAGAACTAAATTAAGAGAAGGTGTGTGAGAGCGCAACTGAGAGATCATCATCAAAAATGATCGACGAAAGAGAGAAAACGTGTTTAGCCATCACCGCTATCGTACTATTTTGTGCATTAGTGATCTAATTCGTGGCCTTCCCTTTCTGAGTCAGCTATAGGCTTGCTTTTATATGTCTTTTGAGATGGGGCTTCTTCATCCATTCTCACAAGATGGCCTAACCAACGTAGTCGCTGCAGCTCGATCCCTCTGACTATGTCGATGTCTGAGAATTGATTGTATAGCTCATGGTTCATTCGACGGCGCTATTCACCGTCGACGCAGATCGGCCCATAGATCTTCCGGAGAATTTTTCTCTCAAACACTCCGAGGACTTCCTCATCGGCTTGCGCAAGTATCCACGCTTCAGATCCATAAATCAGCACGTGTAGTATCAGAGCCTTGTAGAGTGTGAGTTTGGCCTGGCAGGAGGTGGCCTTGTTTCTAAAGTGCTTACTTGGACCATAGTATCATCTGTTGGCCAGCAGTATCCTTCTCCGAATTTCAAAACTGATGCCATAAGTTTTATTTATGAAGGGACCAAGGTATATAAAATCTTTGACTACCTCGAAGCTGTTGTTCTCAAGTTCCTCAGTTGGTCCGATTCAACTGGACGTCTTGCGTGTTGATACCATAAGTTTGGTCTTTCGCCATTTACTGTCAGTCCAACTTGACAGACTCCATTTCAATTCGTTTTGATTGAAGGGCTCTTAAAGGTCAATTCCGACCTTAACTGCTGACCTTGTGCCAGTTAAAGTTATCCTGCATAGCCGTATTAATTTTGCAGGAATGTTTCAGTCCACCTAATAGTGGGGGAGATAAAACGGCATTTACATTAGAACTCTTTAGCGGGTTAACCTAATTTATGAG